CTCCCCATTCTTTCCAACGAAGACTGGGATGAGCTGAAAGAACTAGCACCATTCTTGGAGCTCTTCAAGGAACTGACACTTCAGATGTCCGCGACCACTGAACTCAGAATGTCTCAGGCAGCGCTTTTGTTTGAAATGCTTTTTGTGGAAATTGACAAATTCAAAAACAATAATTCCATATCCACCAATCTAAAACACGCTGCAAATGCTGCCTACGCCAAACTGGCAAAGTACTACAACAAAATGGCACTCGAAAGCTACAGCATTGCTATCGTTTTGGACCCTCGCTTTAAACTTGGCGTTTACGACAAAACTCAAGACCCGGCTTTTTATAGTGCTCAAGCCAAGAAAAACATCTCAAAAGCATTTGAACATTACCGAAGTAGGCTAAAAAAAGGACACACTACTGCAGCTATCGATCCCAAACCAGCACAAAAGAGAACATTTGTTTTATTAGATGACGAAGTAGAAGCAAATAGATCCGAGCTGGAAGACTATCTTATGGAACGTAGGGTAAAAATTGATGCCTGTGATTATTGGAAGACTAAAAAGGACCAATTCCCAGTTCTATTTCAAATGGCTAAAGACTATTTGGTCCTTCAACCTACCTCTAAAGATGCGGAAGGGGCTTTTTCCATGGCTAGACGATATCTACCTTATTACAGGCTGTCTCAAAATGCAGAAACACTCAATTTACAAATGTTGGTAAACTCAGGGGTCAATTTAGGAGCTTTTGAGAATAATCTTTAAAAATATGGAAAGTATTGCAAAAATCCTAAAAATTTTATAGATATTGAAAAGACTTGAGTAAAGGAGAACTGTATTGATTCAGATATTGAAAATGATAGAAAATATTGAATTGAATTGTCAATTCCGAACCCTAGTCCAAAAAAGGTGTGTCTGATTTATTTCCCAAAATTAAAGAATGCATTATTCTGTTCGTATATTTCATCATTTCTACGAATACTGTTAATGTTAAATACGGTTAGGTAGCATAGACTGAACGATAATAGATTAAAGAAATATTAGAAATATGGAAAAAAAATGCTTTCGAAGAGAATCGAACTCTTGACCTTAGGATTATGAGACCTACGCTCTACCGACTGAGCCACGAAAGCACAAATCACTTTAGAAATTATTTTTTAAATTTATGAATAAAAACTTAGCAAATTGTCAAATTTGTTTAATTGTCTGTGCTTTTCCATTGTTTAATATATCACACCATTTTTCCAATCACAATTGCATTGCAACTGTGAATGTATTCAGACTTTTTTTAACCCACTAAGATTTGGTTTTGATGAATATCGTAAAAATGGAAACGTTTAAAGTGTTGATCTCAATTCCTGAGAAATCTCTTAGCGAAATCAAATATTTGAAATAAACTTACAGTCTTTTATCATTACTATCGGTAGATGTATAAATTAAGTAGCATTCGCTGATAGTCATCAAAAGTATGCATTGATGGGATAAATCTATGCAAGGTTTTTTCTCTATTGGAAAAGTTAATGGGGAATCATTTGGACCGTCCGATATCCAGTTTTATGACAAGTCCTCATCCTTTATTTCATCTAGCAAAGAGCTATATGGAATCTTGTGATTCAACAAATAAGGAAACTATATATTTGTGATGTGCTAATTAGCAATTCAAACTTCTTACGATCGAATCCTTTCTCTTTCGTAGTTAGGTACCAAAAATGGGAAACACCATTATATAGTTAAGTAATATTGTTGCACAATAGTACAGTGAATTTCAAATGATTATATTTATATCGTCATGTGAATCAGAGAAGTTAGTCATTTGTTTTAACTTAAAAACTTGAAATGAGTTATATGTTACCGCATCTCCCAACAGGATGGCATGTTGATCAAGCCATCCTTAACGAACAAGAAAGAATTGTGATAATTCGATTTGGGCATGATTGGGTATGCAAATGTAGTTAACCTTAAGGTTTGGTTCTTAATTGTTAATTATAGGTAAGTAATGATGTTAAATTAATGGCAATAGGTACAATCATTATATATAGGTTTATTTTTAGGTAGTTTTACATTTTAACTGAATTAGGACACAACTTGCATGCGAATGGATGAAGTTCTGTATGGAATAGCCGATGCTGTCAGAAATTTTGCAATAATTTATTTGGTAGATATTACTGAAGTTCCCGGTATGTCTTTTATACTTTCATCTGTGAAAATTCTTGAATTGGAATTGAAAATACTGGCGCTAAATTAAGTTTACTGTTGGTCTCATTTATCAATGTTATTTCAATTCTCACTTCAGAATCCCCCCAATCTAATTCTAGATTTCAATCGGATGTACGAAATATATGATCCTTGTACAGTGATGTTCTTCTTTAGGTAATATTTTTTTATATAATTGCTTACATATCAGAAACAAACATATGATGATCGATCTTGGCACTGGAAATAACAACAAAATCAATTGGGCTTTGGATGATAAACAAGAAATGATTGATATTATTGAAACGATATATAGAGGAGCTCGTAAAGGAAAAGGTTTGGTAAATGCGCCAAAGGTAATATGATCTATTTAAATGATAGGATTACTCGACAAAATACAAATATTAAATATCGAGTTAATTATATTATAAATTTATTTCGATATTTTCCCTTCAATAACGTTATCTTTTGGAATTTAACTTCCGACGACTTAATTTTTTACCGGACACTTCAAACGATGGGCAAAGACGAAGATTATGAAGACGATTGTATTGAAGATAACCAAATCGTTTCATCATTTCAATCTTACGCAGCTGAAGGTGAAATACTTGCCAAACAAGGAAACTATCTGAAGGCAATTGAAGCATTTTCAAAAGTATGTAGACCTCTCCTAAATACGTTAGGCTTTATCATTACGACCTAAAGACAAATTGGTTCTAGTCGCGAGAAGTAAATGCTACCTTCAATTGGGAGATTCGCATCATTCACTACTTGACGCGGAAGCGTCTCTCGTGGATGAAAGTGATTTTTTTAAAGTATTATAATTGGAAGCGAATTAATCTAATTTTATATTAGGGTGTTTTTCAAAAAGCAGAGGCATTGTATTCTCAAGGAGATTTCGAACTGGCTCTGGTTTTTTACCATCGCGGACACAAATGTCGCCCAGAGGTATTCATCACTTCAAAATATTATATAATAGTTGGATGAATTTCGATTGGGAATACAAAAAGCAAGGGAAGCTATCGACAATTCGATAGGAAGTAAGACACAATTTCTAAACTTTCAATAGACCCAAAAGACTACAAATTTCAACCTCCGCCAGGTGCTAGGTTAGTACTAACAACTACCACTATTGGATCCAATAATTCAAATTCATTAGTTGGTACGAACGGAAACATACCATTTGTCTCTGGAATCTGGATCTCTCCCAAAGCCACTACTGGCCCAAACGAAAAAACTAAAGAAATTAAAACTATACTAGGAGAGAGCACAAAAAAGTTGCTTGGTGAACTTTACGCAGATAGAGAATATCTCGAAGAATTTATTAATGACAAAGGTATTCTAAAATTATTTTATAAGAATAGATTTTTCCTCAAATCCTAACAGTCAAGTGACTTTATTAGTCGATGAAGCTCTTAATTTTTTAGAAACTAGGACGGAATTTTGGAGACAACAGAAGCCATTATACGCAAGAAAAAAAGATGCTGGAAAATTCACTTCAAAAAATTCAGTTATTTCACCTAAATATGTTAAAGGAACCAACATATCAATTAGCACACCAGATCAACTACACGTTAAGCCAATTAACTTGGTAAAAAAAGAAAAAAAAATAGTTCCTAAAGTTTTGCATCGACCCAAAATATCTCAGTAAGGCAAAAATCGATAACATTTAGTACAATAATATCTCCTACTTTAAAACAAGATAAAATAGTACAATCAGATTTAGCAAGTATCAACAAAACTTTAGCAAAGCTAGATTACACTACAGCCTTAAGAAAAACTAAGTCTTTAATATGTAAAGTTTTTGATTTCAAAAATATTGAAAATTATGAGAGGCTGAAAGGTAATTGGAGCGATTTGGTTCTTATATCAGCCGAATTATATGATATATTAGGAGGGATATACGTAAAACTTGATTCTTGTACTGAAGCAATCGATTCATATAAGAGAGGTATGGAAATAATTGAATAATAGAACAAGAACTCGATCTAGCTCTAAAATTAACTCAAAACGATTGTATCAATAGAGCTAGAATAGCACTAGGCAAATTATACAGTCGACAACGCAAATATAACAAGGCTATTGATATCTTTAATGAAGTGCTGAAAGCTGGGTTATCTTCTTCATTGGAGCATTGTGCAGTTCTGTACGAATTGGCACGAGGTTATATTAATATCAAAAATTATATGCAAGCGTTAAGTTTTGGATCTAGGGCATTCGAGATGGCAGAGGAATTGAACATCCAATCGTTAAGCATAAATGCAAGGATTATACTTGCAGAGGTGGAAGGTATCTGTTATAATTAACAATTCAGTGCAACAAAATCATTTTGAAAAAGCACATAATATCTTAAAAGTAGCACTGCAGAAAGCCAAAAATATTGATGATAAGAGATTAATTTTCAGCATTATCAAAACAATTGAAAATACAAAGAAACTTGAAGATTTATTTTCGATGAAAGAATCGGCAAAAAGTAGTACAGTTTCAAACAATCAGACTATCGGCGTTATAGCCATATAAATTTTAACTATATTTTAACTATATTTTAATAATTTTTGAATTAAATCAATAAACTTAATCGATATTTGAGATATAAAACATGTTTTTGCCATTCATCTTGTGCATTGAAAATTATAGATTGTTTTAATTACCAATCTGATACATTGACAGCATGCTAGACATGTACATTATTGTTATTGAATTGCTGGGTTGTTTTGTCAACAATAGCTTATAGATTGACTTAATTGGAATGGCGTTTTGGAAGCCTCGTCAGCTTGGCTTAGGTCTCGGTTTAACGCCTTCCAATCAGCCTAGACCACAATCCTATCAGATTTTCCTACTAAAACTCTGATTCATGACATCAATAACCGCGGACAGTATTCCAATTGTACAATCTAATGATACTATAACTGCACCATATAAAAATGAATTGGAAACAAAGAGTGTTTCTATCAACATAGAATCAAATCATTCAAAAACAATTATTAAAAAAAAGAATGTTACAAAACAAAAGCCTATGAATCTATCTCTCTGTATTGCAATTTTTTTGCTTGTTTGTGGAGGAATATTTACTGCATTGGTGTTGACTCGCTCTACAGATGATTCAACTTCACCTGCTTTAGCATCTTCATCGTTTACAGTTTCGTCTGATGGTACATGCGGATATGGTATTCGACCAGATGGTAGCCAAGGAAGTGGATACCAGTGTACTAAAAGTCTACCATGCTGTAGTTCAAGAGGTTTTTGTGGTCTTAGTAACTCTACTGAACATTGTCTGCTGGTCAGCGGATGCCAAACGGCATTTGGTTTATGTAGGATTACTTTGTGATTCATATTGATATAAAATGTAAGAATAACTGCGAACCTATTGTTCTTAGTATATATAAAATGCAAAACAAAAATGCTTTCGAAGAGAATCGAACTCTTGACCTTAGGATTATGAGACCTACGCTCTACCGACTGAGCCACGAAAGCACATGATTTTGAATGGGCCAGTGCTACTTGAATAATACCTCACCATTGCTGCAAATCTCAATCTTGTCGCACCAGCCAGTCGGCCGCAAAAGATGCACCGCTCGAAAGCATAGCTACAGCCGACAATCGCTGAATTTACGATGAATCAGAAATGCAAAGGGCAAAAACCAAAATGATCGCTTACAGGATCGAACTGCAGACCTTTCGCATGTAAAGCGAACGTGATAACCAACTACACCAAGCAACCATGCCAAAAATGTTAAAATCTTCATTAACTAAAAAAACATCAGAAGGAATACAGTTCCAAATATTGTTACAAATTTTACTCTAAATTTCAACCGTTATTTGCAACATACATATTTAATATAGATTTTTTTATTTTTTATTGCTATTACATTATCGTAAAATATTTTACCATCGCATATCCTAGTTATTCCAAATTTATATAAAACTATGAGTAATTGAAATACCTATTTTGGGGACATTCATAATAAGTATGTCTATTTTATTGAAAAAAACTTGATTTTCAATGTTCCAAAGTCGAATTAAAATGGCCAGACGCTTCATCTATCCAATCTTGTTTCAAACAGAGCGCTCCTTTTAGATAGACTTTTTTCATGGTTTGGTCAAATTGGAGCGAAATACTTACCATTTAGGAAAGTTTGTCGAATTGGTTAGTCATTTACCCCAATGCTGCCGACATGCTAAAATAGATGTCATCATCTGGATAGAATTTATGCATGATTTGTTCCAAAAAATCTGTGCAAAAATTGTATAGCGGCATCACTTTGTTGAAACTTAATTTAATGCATTTTCTCAAGTCAATCAAAGCTTTTTCTATCAACGATATGAGGATATCAATCAGTTGGTAGATACAGCTCCAATCTCTGACCGTGAGCATTCGTTTTATCAATGAATCGATTTTGTACTTGTAAATTGTATCTGTTAAAATACTTATGATGGCTAAGGCTCTGTCCAAAATGTCTCAAGTGCTATTTCATGGAGTAGCCGAATTAAGATTGGGAATAAGAAATTTCTCATTTGTTTCTTCACACAGTTTCTACATCCGGTGTCGAATCTTTGGAAAAACTGGAATTTTTCGACTGGCCAAATGATATACCGCTGTACCCATAGTGTCAGCAGTAAAACTAGTTGGTATGTACTCGTCGGAATCGACTGATTGTTTGAATAAACGCAACACTTGTGCACCAAAATTCATCAAATGAGCCATGCAATCGAATTGGTTTCAAACAACTTTGAATCCTGCGCTCTTGTATTTTTCGTTGAATTCAATTTCAAATTGTTTCATCATTGTAAAGTTTAAATTTCTATAGTCGAATGTTATGACAAACAATCTTTCAGCAATTCCTAAGCTTTCTAATTCTTCCAATACACTTTTTGGCCTAGAATTCATCAATACGGTCATCATCAAAGTGTGCAAATGTCAAAATTTTTCTTGCATTTGCCAATCGCCATCAATATAGTGAATCGGAATTCATAGAGACTGGAGTTGATTATTTGTAGTCCATTCATCGCAAATAATAGAATATTTTGATTTTAGAGCCATCAATTTGTCCTTTCAATTATTCTTTTTCTGATCATAAAGCTCCTGAATGCGTCTCATAGTAGAGCACCGTGATTGAAAATTAATATAACTTTTAAAGAAGCGAACATAAACTATAAATGTGGGACTATCGCCTAAAGATAAAGGCTGGTCGGTAATGATTATCTATGTTAATAATTTTCCTATAAAGACATTCGAATCAAATGGCAAGTTCATTCAGATAGGGTCCAAGATACCTCTACTTGGCTGCAAATTCGTTGCTTCGATTGTGGTAAGTCAATCTGGGCACTTATTTGAATGATTTCCTCGCAGTAGCTACAACATGTTCACTGTTTGAAGGGCCTTGAAACGATATACAGCTTTATAAACATTAGACGTGGACGACTTCAATTCCATTATTCTTTCGTTTAAATGCTTTTTCCGTCGTTCTGGAGCAATGCGCTTTAATCAGCGAAGCAAACTGGATGTTGTTCGATTTCTAATTGCGTTCAGTTTTTATTTAGTCGTGAGCAATTTATTCGTCCGCAAAACGTTGTTCATTGATGCTGAGACAGAAAACCATTAAGAATTTTGAACTATTTTGAGTAAATATGAGTTATCGTGAGTTAGTGTTTCAACTATTCAAATCAACCCACAAAATCAAAAATAATTCAAGTGGAATAAGTAAAACTGAATGGAGTGACTATTCTTACTTTTCAAGATATAATTATAAATACTGAATACTGAGTTAAACTTGAGTCAAAACCATCAAAATCCAACTCAAACATCCAAGGCAATAGAATCATTTGTTTGGGATTCAAGTGAGTCCAACCTTAATAGAAAGTAATACATTTCAACAAATTATTTATCAAAATGGTTTTGTTTACTCCAGTTTTTGAATAAATTCATGTAAAATGAATTTTTTTCCTAATAAGTACAAAATCATGACGACTAAACCCATTAAAACAAAACAAAAATCAAGGCAAAGTAGACGTGAAGATGAACGTAAAAGAGCGGATTACAATGTTCAGAATAATACTGTTTCTAGGAATCTAATCAATGAAAATGATTTGAAAACTTTCCAAAAAGGAATTATTCAAAACTCGATATCTATATTTGGAATTGGAAAATTATCTGAATTAAATTTAGATGTATTTGTAGAAAGTACTGAAAAATCGAAGTTTAAGTATATTACATTACTTGAGATGGCAGTATATTTTAAAAGAGACGCAATTGTATCCCAACTTATCAGAGGAGGAGCTAACCCAACTGTTACTGCACAATCTCCTCAAGGCTTAACTACTTCAAATGCATTGAAAAATGCTTTGTGGAAACTTCCTCCACCATATTCTGCATACTTGGTTATGAATGCATTAAATATGAGACAATTGGCACAACCTTTGGATTGTGCCAATTGCGGTAAGGAATGTTCCAAGGTTTTTCAAGACACAATCATTCTAGATCATTGTAACCATATAATTTGTGAAACTTGTTTTTGGAATATCATAATTGAATCGAATGATTTATATTCTACATTTTGTTGCCCTTGCTGTAGAATTGCTATATTTATGGTTGAATCAATAGAAACGTTTATCAAACCAAGTCTAAATTTAGCAGAGGATTCCAGAAAGAAATACCAGTTATTAGCTAATGACCTTGTGAACAGCGAAATTCGTGCAATCAAGAAACCTCCCTTTGTTGCCATGCCTTTGGAATCGATAGCAAGGCTTAATGTCGGTTCTACCAAGGCACAACGAGATGGTTATATATTTAAATCTATATATCAAGGAAATGTGTTTAGAGTATTGGCACTATTAGAAACTGGTGTTGAAATTGACATCCGTAACGAATACGGCCAAACGCCTTTGCATATTGCCTATTTAAAAAAGAATTTCAGATTGATTGAACTATTAATTGCTTGTGGGGCAAATGTTAATATCAAGGATAATTCCGGACTAAAGCCTAATTTTCCAAATTTAGTAAATGAAAACATAAGTTGCCTTCAAATTGTAAATGCTGACGAGAAGATTAAATATTGTATGCTAATTGACAAGGAGAAATTTCCAGATCACCCAGGAGTATCTCAAGGTTATACTTTTTTTGTCGATAGTACATTCTCGGAAGATTTTTTGGTAAAAGCCGACAATTTATTGTATCTTCTCCCAACTGCAAATGCTGAAAAACTATCTTGCAGCGAAAGACAATATTTCTATGATACAAATCGCTGGGTTTCCAATGAAATTGAAAAAACATTGAAGAAACTTTCAAAAGCTTTAGGATATCAATCGTTCTATGTGCACTCATCATATCGTATCTTGAATTATCGCAAACCTGGAGGAAAACTTCCACCACATATTGATTTATCGAAAACAGATCCTTTTAATGGAAATCGCTCTTCGCACACATTAATATTATACTTATCGGATTGCAAAAATGGCGGGGAAACAGCAATACTTGAAAATTTGCATGGTTCCAATATAGTACAAGTTTCTCCATTGCGTGGAAGGCTTTTAATCTTTCCCCACAATTGTCCTCATGAAGGAAAGGAAGTTATTATGGCCCCGAAGATTTTAATAAGAGGGGAATTATCATTTAATTGAAGTACTACTTTTCAAAGAGGAAAAATGATATCCAATTCAATATCATAGAATATTTTGATACCAAGGGTCTAATTATTCAAGTCTTCCTTTTTTATATACTTCACTACCCCGATTTCCAAAAAATGTCAAATCAAAGTTACTTCTTGAATTTGGTTATAATTCTGATTTTAATGTGCACATTGTTGACAATGAAAATGTCTAGCGTTATTTCTCTTCGATTTCCAATCGATACGTTAAATAATGATAATTGAATGCGTTTCTAATTCTCTTTGGGCTTATATCAGTTTAAAAGTTATGGCAATTGCAAACCAGATAGTCCTACAGCCTTTCTTAAAGTAATTATTGGTATAGGTTTATTAAATCGATACCAAAAATGCTCTTGGTTATTAAATAAACAAACACATTTTGAGATTTTTGAGCAAATCAATAATGCGACATTATGAGCTAACGAAATTTTTAAGTTGGGCAGCTAATTGAATCTTCACATGTCGTTCACATCCCTTATATATTTTGACGCTGAAGTACGATATCTATTGTGAGTCGAACGATTAGAGTACGATCAACTGTCCATAGATATGAAATTAAGTTTGGCAAACGAGGGCAGGGTAATAATTACTTAGAACAGAGTATGGAATGGAATTCAAATTGGGTCATTGCATTCAACGACTTCTTCATATATTAAAACTATGACTGTGGAAACACAAGCAAAACTAAATTGACTTTAGAATATATTACTGGCTTACATCTAGCTAAGATTTCCCACTCCTGGTAACGTTAATCTCATGCTATACTTTAATTTACTTAAACAATTTGATCATTTAACCAATACACACATCACAAGATCCTATTTGATACACCACCATGAGCGGTAGTCAGTTCGTACCCAGTTCTTGTACAACTTTCGTAACAAATGATTTATAAACATTTATAAACAATCATTGTACCAAGATTCTAATAAATTGGGAATAGTGAGAATGGTTCAATAGTATTATATGAACATGGTAAGTATAGCGATTTACTATTCAAATTCAAGAATGAGTTAAAATTAATTTTTTTTAAGTATTTGTTATTTGGCAAACCTATTAAATATTATATACCAAAAGT